GTTTCACGATGGGCCAAGCGGAGGACATCTTGGCATAGCAAAGACCGCTGAAAAGGTAAAGCAGAGATTCTACTGGGTCGGCTGTCAAAAATCCATTGCCGACTGGATCGCCAATTGCGAAAGGTGCATAAGAGCTAAAGGTCCAACACGGAAGAGTCGAGGCTACATGCAGCAGTATAATTCAGGAGCCCCTTTTGAAAGAATCGCAATGGATGTAGCTGGACCGTTCCCAATAAGCGACTCTGGGAACCGGTATGTCTTGGTGGTCATGGATTACTTCAACAAATGGCCAGAGGTTTATGCTATCCCAAATCAAGAAGCCAGGACAATTGTGGATGTGTTCAGCAAAAATTGGATTTGTCGCTATGGTGTCCCATCTGAGGTTCATTCCGATCAAGGTAGGAATTTTGAATCAGCGATCTTCAAGGAAATGTGTGACTCCTACGGAATCAAGAAAACCAGAACAACGCCCCTACATCCACAATCAGATGGCATGGTGGAAAGATTCAATCGCACCCTTGAAGAACATCTACGGAAAGTGGTGGACAGTGGCCAACGAGACTGGGATGAGCATATTCCAGAGTTTTTACTGGCTTATAGATCGGCCATTCATGATTCCACATCCCGGACCCCAGCCAAAGTTCTGTTCGGAAATGAATTAAAGCTACCTGGCGATTTGATATTCGGTGCTACCCCAAACGACGATGTGAACCAAGATGAAGACAGTAAAAACTCTTTTAGTAAAGTCCACGATGCAGTTCGCCATCGAATAAAAATGGTTAGCAACCGCATGAAGGCAAGGTACGATCGAGCGGCAAATACCGATGGGTTTCAAGAAGGGCAATTGGTACTATTGTTCAACCCACAACGTAAGAAAGGACTATGCCCCAAATTGCAAACGCACTGGGAAGGACCCTACAAGATTGTCACGAAAATAAATGATGTGGTTTATCCCATCCAGAGGAGCGACAGTCCCAGGTCGAAGATGAAAGTTGTACATTTGGAGCGGCTGACCCCCTACGGAACAAGAACTGTGCCTATTCGGGACGAACAGGCTTAAGCGGGGGGCAATGTTACGAATATAACTTTAGATTTAAGTTAATTTAGATGAATTCCGTTAATTTAAGAATTTGAATTGTAACGTAAATTTCTACTACGCAGATTGTTCGAATAACTTCACAACAACAACTACTGTATAGATTTTTCTACATCCTTCCATTTCCTCGTTCATTGTCTATTTTGTTGTTGACGTACAATTCTTGTCATAATTGATGATCGCTTAATTCCTCTTTCTTTGTTACTCCCTCGCCTGTATATGTGTTGTTGTTATTGCTCATTCAATGTAAGTGTGTATGTGTTTGTTGCATTGGTAGATTGTTCAGATGCTACCAGATTGTTCGTAATCTAGATGTTACCAGATGGTCTAGAAACTTCTGTAGCGACAGGCAAGGCTCATATAAATAGAGGAAATGGCAAGGCAGTTAGTCAGTTGTGAATCAAATCGCGAATTGAAACAGTCAAGTAACGTAAAGCTGTAAAGTAACGTGCAAAGTAAAGTTGTGTCAATAAAGTCATTGTAATAATCGTAATCAGAAAGAACCCGCGTTTTATTTAGTACGAACTGTACTGGGAAATAAAACAACGTCTACACGGGATTAAGTAAAATCCAAGAACGTAACAATATAATTTGTTTGTTTAAATTTTTCTGTCAACTGACGTTGACAATAATAAATTTCCATGTGGTTGTTGTACAACAACACTTGTTGTTACCTTCTATTATTATACCATGGACATGCATTTTAAATTGTGTCGTTTTACCGCGATAATATAAAAGTATGTTTATTTGGGGATATGCTTACAGTTATTTATTTATTTTTTTTTTTTTTTTGTCAAAAAAAGTTTAAGACCAACCCTAAAATTCATTTTCAGACATTGTCTATTTATTTTCTATAACAATAATTTTGTTTTTGTAATATAATTAGTATTTGTAATTCATGCATACACCATATTCTGTACATAGCATGCATGATGCAATAATAAGTTGATGTATTAAAACAAAAACATTTGTTTTTGTCTTGACCATCTGTCAAATTTTTCCATATAATATTTCACATGGTTGGCAACATTGCACATCGAATTCAAGTAGAAATTGCGCACTTTGACAGTTAATCAAGACATCAACTGCTCTGAATGGACTACCTATTCATTGTGCCATTGTCTATTTCCCAAATGAAACTACCTTCCATAATATGCCATGGCAATCATATAAAGATTTGTCCATCATAAAATAAAAACATACACTTTTAATTTGTTAAAATTTTTTTTTTCATACCTTCCATAATTATATTATTTGTAATGTAAGAATGTAATTGGTATTTCACAACATTTCATTTGTAATTTTAAACTTTTTCATATGTTATTCCCAAAGTTCCATTGAAATTTAAAGATTTTCATTTCTAAATCGTATAGTTTCGTTTGAAATTCAAAGCATTTAATTTTAACATCATAATATTTCACTTGTAATTCATAATATTTCAGTTGTAATTCGTAACAATTCGTTTTAAATTCATAAAAATTTATTTCAATTTGGCATTAAAAATAAATAAAACAATATATGTAGTTTTTGCAAAAATGTATAAAAATAATTTGACGAAGTATTTCTGTAATCTTTAGCAACATTGTCAATATTGGGACCGTATTCCCTCAGTTGCATCCAATGGAGACAATATATTTAAAAATAAAATGGTATGTGAAGTCCAATATTCAAATTCCGCAAGTATCACCTAATTTGGGAGAACAATGATTACAATACGTATAAGAATTGGTCCATGTTGCTTCGCAAATTGTAAATTTGGGAGATTGTGGAAGATCAACATCAATCAATTCATTAACCCTACGGTCAATAACCAAAAAAGTATACGTAGATCAATAACCATGGTACATTTGTACCCATCCAAAGATAGATCTGTAATTAATTTAAAAATTGGACTATCGTGAGGATTTTTGTTTTAAATTGGTCTATACGGATCTGATCTAGATGTAGGAACTCAAAATTATATATACATTAAAGTAATATATATTTAAATCCATGCTTAAATGATAATCTATCTAAAACAATCATAGTAAATTCAGTATAGCTTTCGAATGGGTTAAGCTTTTGTAGTTATATTTTTATTGGGATCTTATTTAGGTGTTCCTCAACCCCTCTGCAAATGTTTGTGGCCCTAGACAACATGGGTCCATCAGGGCAACTCGTGGAAGTCAGAAACTATCTTGGTTTTCCTTTGGTATACAGGGACTAAAACAATTATTGTTGCCAATTTTTCACATTTTATGAGTTTAGAGATTGTGATTGGCGCATTTTAAACATTATTTAATTTAAAACGTTACTTTATGATAGTTTATATATGTACGCCAATTTTGGATTGTAATAAATCAGACTTATTCGATTATAAAAAAGTTTCAGGCCCAATGTGAAGAATAATTGTAAAATTACGGAAAATAATCATTGTTTTTGTCCTGGTACACCAAGAGAAAACAAAGGTAGTTTCCGAATTCCACGAGTCGCCCTGATGGCCCGATGTTGTCTATGTCCACAAACATTTGCTGAGGGGTTGAGGAACACCTAAATAAGATCCCAATAAAAAATAACTAAAAAAGCTTAACCCATTCGAAAGCTATAATGAATTTACTATGATTGTTTTAGACAGATTATCATTTAAGCGTATAGACTAATTTAAAAAAAAATTCCTCACGATAGTCCAATTTTTTAATGAATTACAGAGCTATCTTTGGATGGGTACAAATGTACCACGGCTATTGATCTACGTAGGTAATAACTTTAAATATATTTTTTCTTTGATTATGTGTGAAAATACCTCAAGAATGATTCCTTAAAATTTGATCCAAATATTTCCATTAATAAACATTTTACAGCATTTTTATTCAAAAAAAGTTACAAATGTACCCGGTTATTAACCGTAGGGTTAAACATCATTCCATGAATTGGCTTTGCGTTTAGAAGATATACCAGTGGGAACATAATTAGCATTTTTTGTGTTTTTTACAACTAATTATTATTTATATCCCATCATAAATATATTATATGAATACTTTTTTGTTTAATTTAGTTTTCATATTATTCTGACTTCCTGAATTACAGTGAACAAATATAGTATTATAAAAATATTTTATAAATGAAAAATGTTAAAAACGCAATCATGGCAGATTTTCTTTAAATATGTTACATTAATATGTAGTTACATTATTACCCACTTTAATGTATTGCGTATTATTTGTGTGTTACCAATAAAACTTTTCGAATTCAAAATCAAATGATACGAATTTCAAATGGAATTATATTATTATATAAATTATATAAATTTTTTGGAAATTCGCCTAGTTTTGACCACAAACTAAGTTAAAAACATAAGGAAGTTCTTCACCAATTGGCTTGTTCCTAGTTTATACGAGAAACGTGCCAAAATTTGGAACCAACTGTATTATTAGTTTTTGAGTTATCGTGCCCGCCATTCATAAAAACACTGCTTCGAGAATAATGCGTTTAAAGTTCGAGAATCACTCTTGCCATCACTTGATATATATCTTCAAGAGTTCATGAGATTTTCACTTGAAATTTTGTAGGGACATTCTTGAATTAGTGTAGTTTCGAAAAACTAACTAAACTTTTTTAACACCGAGAATGGGGGTCTCCTTAAACCATTTTTAATGCGGATAGGAATCGTTCTTATTATTTTTCCCCCACTGTATTTACCATAGATGCATCTAAATTAGTAATTTTTATAACCAATGCTATAAATGTACATATTTTCTTTATTTCAAAATATTTATAATGTAAAAGAGAAAAAAATCAATACTTTAAAAATTCAATACTACAAATAGATAGCGCACAACCTGTTTGATTTAAATTTATTAATAATATTCATAATAATAACTGCAGTTCTAATACAATAGCGATTGATCAGTTTTCACAAGACGTTTTAGATTTTAAAATTGAAAGCATATTTGCTATTCCAGTCTCTTTCAAATACACTCAATAGATCTTTACGAATTGTTGATGTGTTCTTCACCTCAGATGTATCATCCTGTAAGACCAGACCAATCCCAGCTGTATTTGTGAAATAATCACCCGACCAATTCGACGTTCCAATGTATGCCACATTATCAGTGACCATGTACTTGTTATGATTCACTCGCCCAAATGGAATTTTTGGCTTCGTTGTCGTCAGATGGCACAATGAAACGCTTAATTTGTATGTCAACCTTTGGCAATGATTTTGATAGATCTTGCAAAGATCTCAGGAAATAGTCCTCCGATGGATTAGAGTGTTTCCACCAAGATATGAGTAGTTTAATTTTAATTTTACGATCTATGGCAGCGGAACGCAGTGCATCATCTATAATGGGCCAATAGGTTTTATCCTTAGAGTATATCATCATAGGAATATAGTCCATAACTGCAATATTAACAAATTCCTTGGCAGAAGATATAACCTGCAATATCGCAGAAATATCGTCCACTCTTCCACTGGCTGTAAGTGCTGGTGGAGAACTGGAGAGTAACGCCAGTTGTTTGTATTTATCATTGATCAAGAAATGCATTGGATGTCGAAAATTAAATTCAGTTGCATATTCCGAAGGCCATTGTTCTGGTATGGTAGAGGTGTTGGTACTGAGCATCCAATATTCTTCAAATATTTTCTCCAGGTCGTTGGCCAGTGTTGGACAATTTAGCGCCAATACACCCATTTCTTTAACCTGTGTTAGAGACCTCCAGTCCATGTTTGCACTTCCCAGATAAACGTGCTTGTGATCAGATATCCAAAATTTAGTATGCAATACACCACCTCCCAGCAGGCGAGTGAAATTTAAAGAGCGTACTTCCGCAGCTCCATTTTGTTGCAAGATTTGAGTGTCATAATCGGGTTCCATATCCGAGGGAACACTTTGTGCAATACGGATTTTAATTTTTCCCTCAGTTCCCAAATCCGTTAGACGATTAAATATATCTTCCCCTGGACCAGCAGAAGGATCATTAATGACATCTGAACCGAGCAGAGTCCAATAAAATGATCCGATATTTAGAACGGACTCGGTTGAATTCAAAAGCAACTTCCATGAGTTGTAGGTGGACATGAACTTAGGACTGTTAGATGAAAAATTTAAATGTTCAGGAATACTTTCGACCAATTGAAGATGGCAAGGTTCATAGTCGCCAGTATAGCTATCTAGAGTTTCTAAACGCAGAATTTCTCTCAGATGTTGTTGAAATACAACAACCATTGTAATAGCCGTTAAAATAAAGATTAAAGCGAACAATACATGGTCGGATTTAAATTTTGGTCGAATTCCCTGAGATGTCTGAGCCTTTTCCGGCATGGGCAACTCAACCGATAACTTTTTATATGCCATATTTGATTCAATTCCTTTTTTGGAAAGTGGCATATCCAATAATCTGTAACAAATAAGAAAGAAAAGTACATAAATATGATTTATTATAAATTGTGAGGCTTGGTTATTTTTTTGTCGCAGAAGTTCTTAATAAATATAACAAGAAATCAGAGTGTACAATTATTATTGTTTGGACTTGAACTTTTCCAAAAAGTACCAAAATGACAACGTTTTAGGAGTCGTTTGTTTACTTTAAATTTTGTTAAAAAATAATAAATGTATATTAAAACAACACATTTTAAATGGCCACAACCAAGCTAGCATTTGGAAGATCGTCTTAGAAAAAATCACCCTAGGGAGTCTTTTAGGAGTCCCTTGTTGATTAAAAACTGATTGGCTCACTTGGACGACAAAAAAGGGTCTCGAAAATGACTTCTTCTTATGATTTAAAAGAGTTTAATTTTAAATACAACAACAAAATGTATAACAGTCGCAAAACAATCATCAATGTGTGTAAAAAATGACTATTTTTTCCGTTGTCTATCACCACATTTTGATCAAGCACGCAGATGTTTGAAAAATGAATAAAACTGTATTTTTACAAACCAATACATCATGGTTTAGACCATGATGCAATAATAAGGTGATATATCAATACAAAAACCCATGATGCAATAATAAGGTGATGTATCAAAACAAAAACCTTTGTTTTTGTCTCGACCATCTGTCAAATTTTTCCATATAATATTTCACATGGTTGGCAACATTGTACATAGAATTCAAGTAGAAATTGCACACTTTGACAGTTAATAAAGACATCAGCTGCTCTAAATGGACTACCTATTCATTGTGCCATGCAAAACCTTTGTTTTTGTCTCGACCAACTGTCAAATTTTTTCCTTATAATATTTCACATGGTTGGCAACATTGCACATCGAATTCAAGTAGAAATTACGCAAATGGACTACCTATTCTTTGGTTTAGACGCACCTTTAACATGCCTCTGTAATGAGTAATTCTTTGCGAAAATGTGGGCAAGCAGTAACTGCAGTAAACATTGCGATTTTGGCACACACACACTTTATATGGTGCGGATTTACGAAATCCTGAAAATAAATTAAAATTTGTTTACATCACTTTTAAATAGCATTTTTTTACAAAAGAAAATAATTTTCTTAATAGTAAAGCTAGTAAAAGGGAACCATTTTAAAATAGCACTCAAAGTACAAAATAATTTGAAAAGTTCGGGAACGCCAATATGCCAAAATTAGCAATACTTCAAAATCAACATAACAGCCTGTCAGAAGATGACATTCCTGTTTACTATTTTTACTCGTTCAAATTTCTCAAGTAAAAGGTTTACAAAGAGAATGTCATTTTGTTTTGTGTTCTCTTAACTTTCGTTGACGGTTTTAGAGAAAAAAAGTTGCAAAACTTGTAAAATTATTAGATTCTTTAGGTTTTGGAACGGAACTGAAGTATTGTAAAAAAAAGAAAAGAAGAAATATTTTACCTCAAATTTTCTATTTAAAATAGTTTATCATATTTATTTGATTTAATTTATGGTTTTCCTCGAAATTGTATTTTTAAAGATTCATAGCATATTAAAAAATTGTATGTTTCGCACTTTTCCCTATGTACCAAATGACAATTATTTACATACATATTTCGTTGTCTGCATTTAAAATAAAAAATAATTACTTTTCGCTAAGTGATGCTACAAAATACGCTACAATTGAAATAGATGCCTACCAAAAATATGGCAGCTGTTGAATAATTGAAAATTGTTTTTTTACTTGTAATGAATATTACAATAAATTTAAAACAGCAAATGTTTTATGCGTACTTGACCTTATGTGTATGTATACATATACCAATATACGTATACCAATAAAGCAAGCAAATCTACTTCATTTTGACGATTTATGCAAAGTGTATTTAATAAGGTGTAATAGTACATTTACATTGTACCGGATTTGGTTAACCCAGTGGGTTTCAATTGTCAATTGCATTGTATACATGTCAAATAAATCCACATAGAGTAGGTTAACCCTGTAAAAAAGTTCTAATGTAAATGCCGTTTAAGTGACAATCGTGTGGTTTTAAACTTTTTTCTTTATTGTTTGTAAAGTAAATTGTCAAAAATATTTGTCAACGTTTCATTTCGATTTAAAATATTGTCTTTTGTTTTCGATTATTATTTTTTATTAATAAAAGTGCAATAATAATGAATTTATAGGGACGGAATATTTTTTAATGCCCCAAGTGACGACAAGGAAGCGTGAGCTTAAATCAGTTCTAAATCCGGCCGCTGATTTGTTCCAGATATTTGCCGGAAGTACAACTTGGGTTCCAGATTGCAAATATACATATGTATATGTGTGTTCTTATGATCGATTTAATATCAAAAGGAGATTGTCAAGGAAAAGGAAATCTGCCCCTAAATACCCTATTTCCCTCAAAATGAAGGAAATGGTGTTATATAGCTTGCAAGGTTTATTCATAAGGTTAACAAGGAGGCGAATTCGAAGTCTTCATTGTCTGTCAAATTTATTATTTGAAGAATAAATAAACAAAAAATATTTTTATTCAAACCAAAATATTTGTTGATTAAGCCATGAATTCGCCTAACGGTTAACCTTATCAATAAACCTTGATAGCTTGTATTAGAATTTGTCCATTAGTTTTCTACAATCGCCTGGCTAAATACAACCTTTTTACAATTTAAAATGAGATTCGGTTGCGTAGTCTATTGACATTTTGCTTACGGGTTTGTGGTGTTTGACCGGGAATTTATGTCCTACGATTTTTCTACCAAGAAGCCACTTCTTCGAAAATTATATTGTAATTTAATTGTAATTTCTAATGTAAATGCCGGAGTATTCATATTATGGATAACAAAACCCGCATCCGTACAGAGAAACAAGATACAAAAAAATGAAATATAATATGCATTCTAATTAAAGGTAATATTTTATATAGTCCTTTGCTGTCACAATACCATCAACAAAATGAGCTTTTTAACTCCAGCTGCACATAAACACCATGATTAGGAAATGGGATTATAGAGGTGTGCAGAGAGAAAATGATCGGATGGTAAATTCATAAATGTAAACAAGGGCACCAGTTCACATGCTTGCACAGGGCTAGATTATAACGAGATTAGCCGTATTGTCGTCAAATTTTTACGCGTCCATCCGATATTTTTATATTGATGTATATTCGATAACACGATAACAATTTTTCCTTTATAATATCGAAAAAAATAGTAAAATTTAGTAAATTCTTGCATGGTTGTTGGAATGTCAGTAAACGATAAAAAGTTAACAGTCTAATTGACATAAAACTCTTCGGGTGTGAACATTGCAATAAAGCGAAAAAATGGCTGGAACTGACGAATGTGTAAATAAAGTCCAATATTAAATGTAATCGAACAAATCATCTTAGTTCCGCTTTGAACTATATTCTTATTGCAACTTCAAAAGTCGGCTTATGTATCCCTAATACTTGCCAAAGAAGAAGAAATTTCAGAAGTGTGCAATTCAATCAACAAAAACAACAACAATAACGGAGGACTATAATATTCGCTAATATATATTTCGTAATAAACTGAAATAATTACCTTCTATAAATAAAAAGGTTGTATTTTGTTTGTTTTACTTATATATTTCTAATAATAAATACAAATACATATAGTGAGGATATGAATAATGTGTACATACATACTGTGTCCAGCCCCTGAGTTAGTGTTTGCGAAACAATCCTTGGTGGTGGGAAGGTGTTGTTATGTCCGTGCACTTATAATGGACTGTATTTTATTTGTGGCATTTTTTCTTTTACCGTGCGTTTATCTGCATTTCTGTGTGTTGCTATTTCTTCATATGCAAAAAATATGAAATGTTGCCAGATTTCCGGAATTTGTTTACACGAAAAATAATTTTTGCAAATTCTACCATGATAAGTAAAATGTTAATGGAATATGAATTTAATACGAATGGTAATCCTACGTATGACGATTACGTCCATATACATTCCATGATATAGATTTGTTATTAATAATTTAAGGCCACAAAATTAAATTTTTAACAGATGTAGGCCTTTGTATCGTGAATACAACATACATTTTGCCAAAATGTATACTTCCAGTGGTATGGATTCCAAAGTTTTGCATTTCTCTGATAAAAATTATGCCTTAAATTCGCTTTACGGACACCTCTCAGATCATTTTGAATTTTTTACTACAGGTAGCTCATTTGATGCTGATTACAACAACATAATTTTTTTCGGGGGGAAATCAGTACTTTCCGAGATATGGGGCCCCAAAGTTCCTCTACTTTTTATTAAATATCTTTAGGAATACCAGTCCGAAACGTTTGAATTTTTTACTGCAGATAGTCCTTTTACTGCTGATCACATCACCATCAAAAGGTCTATATCTATGGTAAAAATTTCAAAATGGTCTGAGAGGTGTCCGTAAAGTGAATTTGTCCCTTTTTATCAATACGCATGTTTGCTATTTTGTCTTGGTTTATATTTAAGTGGTTTCGAATATTTAAAAATACTTTATTATTAATCTTTCTATCCAGTGAAGGGTTATGGTGATGGCAATCTTCACCATACCAATTATTTCCTAACAAAATATTTAACATTTTATTTTTGGTTGAAAGAGCCTCGATGAGTCTTTAGTTGATATAGCGATAAACGACCGATTTCAAGTTTTTCATTTTTATTTTTGCAATTGATTTCCTTGTAATAAAAAATTTAAACAAATGTAAGAAAGGTTTCTAGTTTATGTTCCTGTTAATTTGAAAGCGATTTCTGAAAATGTTTGATTTAAAAAAAAAATTACATTATAATGCAGGGTTTTGTTGATTTTTTTGTATAAATGGGTGCTGGTAAATTAATATTTTTTCTACATTTTGAGCATCAAATCTCTCATAATTTTTTTTTCAACCTAAAAGAAAAAGTCATGCAATAAAGTTTTAAACATTTTAGTATGTAATAAAATCTCGCAAATCCGG